ATAGTTTTTCTTACACTTTTTTATTTTACTCTAAGCACAATAGATTATTGACCTTTTTCATTCCAATTTATTTTTGATCTTATACGAAGAGCTTCTGCTTTTTGTTCGTAATATTTATATGATTTTTTAGTTTGTCAACCTCATTTTAATTTTCGTCTTTTTCAAGTATAGTCTCCAAATTTTGTTTCAATTTCTTTTTTTATAACCTTATTACACTATAATATAATTTGTTCATTTTTCAATAATTTAATTTTGGATGTAACGCGTCTTCTGATTGGATGACGTTGTTTTGTTTATCAGCTTATAGACATAATTTTGTCATGTGACCGTGACGTCATCAACGTTTTTTCATGGTTTACTCCGGTTTAAAATGGAATTTAGAATTAAATTATAAGAAATGACTGTAATATTTTTTCTGTCTATTCGAAATATTCAGTGTGCACCACATTTTTGATGTTTTTTCTTCATAGACAGAAAAAATATTACAGTCATTCCTTAAATAACCCGGACCTCTTCCGTGTTCTTTGGTGTTCATGGTAATTTTCACTCCTTCGGGAAATAAATAATTGTATATTGTATAATCAAAAATCGATATCTTCACTAGGGCACTTTAAGAAAAGAAAAAGAAAAAAACTGAGAATATATATATATATATATATTTCTCTAATTCTTCGTCAATTTATCCCTTTCTGCACCCATTGTATAAAAAAAATTTAATCAACGTGTGGTTCGTTTGATCTCAGTTCTTCATTGGTAAAAATCCGATTATGACGTCGAATTTTCTTGCTTTCCTCTGAATTTCCTATTGTGACGGCATGAAAAAAGGCGACCATGCCTGATGACGTCACATAGAAAGAACACATCTTTTTGCAGATCATTCGAAAAGAAGGAATAAATTTGCCTGCGTATTGTTTGAAAATCATTAGAGAAACAGATTCCACCACCAAATCTCGTGTAATACGATATTTATCCACTCTCGACAGTTAAATTTTAAATATTTAAAACGCTCGGCGAGCCTCGCGTTTTAAATTTGAAAATTTAACTGTCTCGAGTGGATAAATATATATATATATAAGAAAAATAATATAAGATAATGACGGTTTCAATTCATCACTTTTACTAGCGCTTTCACTGCTTTCACAGATCTTCAGGTAATGTGGCTTGTATACATAAATGTTATAAAACAATTGATTGACGTTAACAATAGTATGACGTTAACAAATACAAGGGAAACTACTAATGTCATTTTAAAATTGGAGTAAAGTCTTTAAAATTTTTCGTAAAAATTAAAATATTATTTATCATTTAATCCCGGGTTGAGAATGTTTATGAATAATTCTTCTTTCTTCTTCCGGAGAAAATCATTTTGACGATTGACCATATACAACGGAAATATTTTAAATCGTCCATTAGAACAACGATGGAAATGGTCGTTAGCCCTGATGATTGTTAAATCTTCATGGTTGGTTTGCTGTCTATGTACAGTCAGTCTAGTCCGCAGTTCTGTTTTTTGTCTCTCCAATATAGAATTCCTCACAATTTGCACATATGAGAGAATAAATGACGTTTGAACTTTTACAAGACATATTTTGTTTAACTGTGAAATGCTTTCCATTTTTGAAATAAATTGAACTTTCTTCTATTAAATCTGGACATGTCATACATCGTTTATTGGTACATTTTCTAACAATAGGCAAAGTTTCATTAAAGTCGAATTTTGAAGATGTTAAATATCGTTTTAGACTTTTTGACTGTCTTTTACTGTTGATAATCTTCTTTTTTTGTAATACTTTGTCCATTTTTTCACTTTTGTGTAAATTACTTTCAATTTGTCGCATGAAACTAAATATATCATAATCTCGTGGGTAATATGTTGTGACAAACGGGATAATTTTGTCTAAACTGTTTGATGATTCTTCGGTTGTTTCGGATCGCCGTGATTCTGTAATGATTGGTCCTTTTATCAGTGCCTTTTGAATTCCGTAATCTATCACTTGATCCGGATATTGCTGCTTTTTTAAATACACTTTTAATTCTTCCAATCTTTTATTGCGTAATAGTTCTGTACTTGTAATGGTAATTATTCTTGACGCTAGATTAAAAGGTATATTTAATTTTACATGTTTTGGATGATTTGAGTAAAAATTTAAATACATATGTGTATCGGTGTCTTTAGAAAAGATATCTGTGACAATTTCATTGTCTTCCGTTATAAGTACTAAAATATCCAAAAACGGCATTTTGTTTACATTTCTGTTAATTGTGAAACGAATATGTGGGTTTAAATAATTTAAATCAGAATGAAAATCTGAGACAGATATATCCGAATTCCAAATTATAAAACAATCGTCAAGAAATCGTTTCCAGTTTTGACGTAGGTAAATGGCAAGGTCATTTCCGTATTTATGGTCCATTTTTTCGTATAATAACTGTTCCAAATATCCAAGTACTAAAGTGGCGTATGAAGGCGCCGTTTTAGTACCCATAGCTGTTCCTTTTTTCTAATGATAGTATGTGCCGTCAAAGTAAAAACTATTTCTTTCTAATATAAGTTTCAAAGATGCAAGGATAAATTCTTTTGTTAATCTGTTTTCAATGACGTTTTCCGTATTTTCTAACCAATATTTTACGGCTGTAATTCCTAAGTCATGTGGGATATTTGTGTAAAGACTGATAATATCAAAAGTAATGAGTTCTGAATTAGGATTTACAGTTGTTGGTAGATGATTTAAAAATTCCAAATCGTCTCGTATGAAACTAGGAACTTCACGACATAAAGGTTTAATCACAATGTCTATAAAATGGCTTAAATTCTGTGTGACGCTGTTGGGTCCGCCCACAATAGGTCGAAATTTTAAATCATTTGGTCTTAAAAGTTCTATGTATTCACTGTTTTGTTCTGATACCGCATTTGAAATTTCCTCACTTTTGTGAATTTAGGTAAACCATAGAAATAGCTTTCTGAAAATTTAGAGTTTGAAATGTAATCCATCTCTTCTTTATACAATTCAGTCTTATGTTTATCTAGTAACTTTTTAATCAATGTACTTGTTTGTTTGTCCATTTTTTTATCTGTCACCTCATAAAACATTTCATCTTGTAACATATTTAAAATTTTATCTCGGTAATACTCACGGTCCATGATTACAACCGCATTCCCTTTATTTATTTATTTATTTACATATTAGTATTGTTGATTGTTTATTTGTGTTTGCATTTAGTAGCAATCCGATAGTTTGGAGTTTATACTAATAAAATATCTTATCTTATCTTATCTTATCTAGGGAATTTATATAATCAATTCGCGAGTATGCTATAACTCTTGAGAATGTGTAACGTTTTTTTTGTTTGTGTATCTTGAGTCGCTATATGTTCGTCATTTCATTTATTTGAATATTTTTGTTCGGTCATTGAGTGCTGACATCTTCGTATTTTTGGGCATGTGAATTATTTAATTTTCATTAATTTATTGTCGTCTTTTAATTAAATGAAACAGAGTATATTAATGTGCAGTATATTATCCACGTCCGTATACTGAAAAATTTCTAAAACGCAACCCCCTGTAACTTTTAAGAGACACTTGAAGCTTATGACATTCATAAGACTTGATAATTGTTTTTTAAACATAATTTCATTTATGTCATTCGCATATAGAGTGTGGCATTCAAATGTAAGTCACTTAAAAAGTTTCTAAATATCATTACTTTTTATACCGGAATGTGACAATACCAAACCCATTACTTTACCTGAAGAGCGCCAGTACCAAACAAATGACTTTGCCGGTAGAGTGACAGTACGAAGCTTGTTACTTTACCAGGAGAGAGACAGTACCAAACCCAAAACTTCAGCTAGAAAGTGCCATTACCAAATACACTTCTTGAGAGCAAGAGTGACAATTCCAAATTTACTATTTTACCGAGAATGCGACAGTACCAAACCCACTATTTATCCGGGAATGTGACTACAAAGCCCATTACTTTACTACAAGATTGATAGTACCAACCCCACGTATTTACTGGGAGAGTGCCTGTACCAACCCCACCACTTTTACCGGAAGAGTGCCAAAACCTAGCATACTACATTACTTGGAGAGTGACAACAGCAAACAACCTATTTACCGAAATATTGACAGTACCAAACCCACTACTATACCGTGAGAGTGTCAATGCCATGTCCACCATTTACTGAATTAGTGTCAGGACAACGTCATCTACTTTACTGGGAAATGACAATAGCATAGAAACTTCCTAACCAGAAGAGTGACAATACAAAACCCACTAAACCGAGAAGTGCCAGTACCTAGCTCACTACCTCAACAAAAGAGCAGACAATGGCAAACCACTACTTCACCGGGAGAGTGCCAGGACAAAGTTTACTGGAAGAATTCAACAACCAAGCCAACTTAATGTGACAAACCTACTTTTTTACAGACAGAGTGACAATACCAAACTAACTACTTTTCAAAGAGAAAACCAGTTCCTAACCCACTACTTCACTAGGAGAGTGCCTCTATGAAGGTACTCAACATATATGATGACAATAGCAAACTAACTTTTTTATACCGAGGGAGTGATAATACTAAGACGAATACTTCAACGCAGGAGAGACAATACCAACCATCTATTTTACCGAGATTAACAATGCCAAGCCCATAACTTTATCAGGAGAGAAAAAATATCAATCACACTACTTGACCAGTGTGATACACAATACCAAACCCACTACATTATCTCAAGATTGACAGTGTCAAACTCACAAGGTCACCCGGTAAGAGACCGTTTACCAAACCCACTACTTTAGCCGCGCTTGGAGAATGACAGTTCCCAAACCAATACTATTATTATCGGAGGCTATAGGCTCAAGTGAGCATCGGTTACTCAACATCTGTATTTCGTAAGTCCTCAACCTATTTTCAAACCAATTCATTGTGTAAATCTGGCAAATGATTTAAAACCAAAACTAATTGGCCTTATACACCAAAAATGTTTAAAAATGCTAAATGGTAGTATAGAGATACATTTTTTTAACCAAGTCATACTAATATGTATAATCATTTTACATTATTGAACATAGCATATGATTGACTGTATAATTAACTCAGAAAAAATTAATCAAGAGTACACTATTAATGGCATCATGATATTTTCCATTTTGTAGGGTAAGCCTCACTGGCTGTGTCTGCACGACCATCTTTTGATAAAACTTTTCCTGTCTCGCCATTTAAAATAACCAATGCTGGAATACCTCTGACTCCAAATTGTGCCATTAGTTTATTCTGAAAATTAACAACACAAAATTACTTCACTATAAAATAAATATGATGGACTTTTGTACAATCTGTCATTGTTTAAAAGTTAATTTGAAGCGTTAATAGATATAGGAAGATGTGGTATGAGTGCCAATGAGACAACTCTCCATCCAAGTTACAATTTATAAAAGTAAACCATTATAGGTCAAGGTACGGCCTTCAACATGGAGCATTGGCTCACACCGAACAGCAAGCTATAAAGGGCCCCAAAAAATTACTAGTGTAAAACCATTCAAACGGAAAAACCAACGGTCTAATCTATATAAATACGAGAAACGAGAAACACGTATGAACTAAGAAATTTATCCAGTTGAACTTACTTTAAATAAAGCTAATACTAACAATGACCACTGTCCTTTCCTCGATCTTGATATCTATATCATTAACGGGAAGCTTAATACAAAAATTTATGATAAAAGAGATGATTTTTCATTTCCTATCGTTAATTATCCATTTTTAGATGGTGACGTTCCCTTGTCACCATCTTATGGTGTTTATATATCTCAACTTGTACGATTCGCTCGTGTATGTAACAACGTATTAGATTTTAGCGAGAGAAATTTATGTATAACGGAATAATTATTACACCAGGGTTTTCGATATCATAAAATAGTCAAAACATTTACTAAATTTTATTATCGGTATAAGGACATCATTCGTAAATATAACTCAACATGCAGACATCTTATACGTTAGGGTATTTCACATCCAATCTTTTATGGTAATATTCTTTACAAAGCACAAAAATGTCAGTATTCACCTCAAAAGCTAACAAAACCTTTAAACAGACCTATTAAGAAGGGATATAATTACGATACTGTTGTCAGGTCATTAAAGATTGCATATTTTGGCTTTAATATTGATTCACTTATAGGGTCTTTGCATCGGAATTAAACATATTTATTCTAAAACCAGTTGTTGGCATGACACGGGTTATGTTTTCTCATATATTTTATGATGGTATAATACTAAACCCCTAACAGGAGGGATTGTGCCTGATATTCATATGATGAAGACATAATCTTTCAATCAGTTTAATTGAGGTCTGGAGCTGGCATGTCAGTAACTGCTAGTAGTCTGTTGTTATTTATGTATTATTGTCATTTTGTTTATTTTCTTTTGTTTCCTATTCTGACATCGGACTTGGACTTCTCTTAAACTGAGTTATACTGTGCGTACTGTTGTGCGTTTGTTTTTTCTACATTGGCTAGAGGTATAGGGGGAGGGTTGCGATCTCAAAAAACATGTTTAACCCCGCCGCATTTTTGCGCCTGTCCCAAGTCAGGAGCCTTTGGCCTTTGTTAGTCTTGTATCATTTTTAATCTTAGTTTCTTGTGTATAATTTGGAGTTTAGTATGACGTCCATTATCACTGAACTAGTATACATATTTGTTTAGGGGCCAGCTGAAGGACGCCTCCGGGTGCGGGAGTTTCTCGCTGCATTGAAGACCCATTGTAGGCCTTCGTCTGTTGTCTGCTCTATGGTCGGGTTGTTGTCTCTTTGACACATTCCCCATTTCCATTCTCAATTTTACATAAACAGACGACAACTACTGTAATCAGATTCCTGACTTAGGACAGGTGCAAACATTTGCAGCGGGATTAAACGTGTTAACACTACTTAGTATCCTTGTAAATTTCACTGATTTTTATCAGTTTAACATGAATTTATCTTAAACCTACACTTTTTCTGAACATATGAATTGATCTATCGTCTGTAAAACCTCCAACCGATTTTTTAACAAGTTACATACATCCAATGATTTGTTTAGTATACTACATAAATCCTGATGCATCCAATGAATTCAGTTATTTATACCCTTCACTTGCTAACTTGGCTATCCAACTCCCGAGCCTGAGCTTTCTCGATAAAGGTTAATCCAGAAAAAAATTATCAACTTGGGGCTAATGTATTTGTGTCAAGTATATATGTGTGCTGGATGTTTAAATACGCAGTCACGCTCGTTCGGAATGAGACTTTGAATGCGATGCCTGGTGTAGGGAAAATGATATGCTCTGCACCATTAAGAACCCTTAATTGAAACAACACATTGAGAGGCCCGTGTGGGTGGCCTAATGCAATGCAAGTTTTTGCTCCTACCCAAAATCCTTTTTTTCCCAATAGAAGACCACTTTGCATAGTCTATCAAATGCATTATAATTGTTAATTTGATCTCGTCTTGAATGTGGAGCTCGAATGTGTATGGACAATAATTGGATGGATGTTGAGCAAACTATAACCAATTGTTGAAAATTGTACCTTGCAATATTTGACGTATCAAGCTGCTTATAGCTTGTAAAATTGTATGCAAATACTCGCCATATTCCATAAAATTATCATGAGAAAAGGCATGTTAAGAAATCATCTCAACCAAATGGGATAAACCAATAAAAAGTCTGTGTTTCAGGGGAAATTGTGATTTAGATTATTTGATCCCTTACAACCCTGAAGATGTTAGAGCTATCACATGTCTGATTGGCAAATCCAAGCAAGTATTTTAAATATTCAAAATGTTTCTCATAAGTGAAATAGACAATTTCATCTGAATTTGAAAATCCGAAATTAAGTAAAAATAGTGGAATTTCGATACAAAAGAATATAACTAGTAAATTTTCATTTCCAACCATTTGCCATATAAATATCAAAATAAAAATGTTATTCTGTTGATAAAGAGTTTAGACACAATAGAGCAAACTTTACATGTTTTGTAAAAAATTGCCTCGAAGGATGAAATAAGGTATTTGAATGAATTTACATCAGTAAGATAGCTCGTAGCTTTAATTCTCATTTATTTTTGTTTATGTTAACAAGGTCCTTCTGGTTATTTTTTTTATAAATACAAATTCTATTGTGAAATCAATTCCGGGGAAATTGGTGATACCTCTTTTCTATTTCATATTATCAGTAACGCCTGTATTGCCAACCTGATAAAACACCAAATGATAAAAGTATCCTTACACAATTGTTTTTTTTATTCTTCGTCAAAACTTAAGAGCAATTAATAAAATATTCCTTTTTGTTTGATTTGTACTAAATTTTAGATACCATCTTTTGAATTAATGTTTTTAGTAACAGCGGTTATTTTAGAGAACGTAAAACGACATAAATTTGGAAGAAGATCATCGAAGGACCACATCAATATTTCAGAGACGTTTTTGAGCTAGGATAAACCAGTTGAAGTCTACATGGTTACCAATAGTTGTTTACTTTTTTAACCGTAGTGATACGTTGCTATCACTCATTCATGTTTATAGGGAGTCATACCTCTAGAGGTTGAATATTAAAAATGTTAAACACAGCCCGTTCGTATACAGGGGCGTAGCTACCTTCTTATGAAGTGGAATCACAAACTAAAGAGCAAGGGGTCTGGGGGCCGCCTAAGGCCCCCAGTAAGTCCAGGGCAAAGCCCTGGTAGGGGGGGCAGGGGGCGAAGCCCCCTGGAAAATCTGCATATATAGCGTTTCAAAACAATCACAACCGTAAAAAAACTTGTATATTTTTGTTGTGGTTTTTTGGTCAACTATTTGTTTAACTTCTAGTCGAATGAAGACTAAACATTGTTGTTTGCCTTTTTTGTACGCCATAAGAGCTTTTAAAATCACGGAGGTTTGTTCCATATGCTAGTATTTGTATTGAGCAAAGAAGATGGATATAAAACAAACAATAAACATAAACACAATACTATATGTGGAATTTGTTAGCATAAACATCTTTGGATACCAAATACTTGGTGGACACACTCTCCAATATTTTGCTGAACATATGTGTTTTGATGTTTAAAAATTCTGTGGGTAAACTCTACAAGAGAGAGATAGGAATTTCTTATTTTACGCAGTTAGGAATTCTCGAAGTTGAAATTAAGGAACTTTTTCAGAGAGAATGGTACTTTGATCACGATCTTTTCATGATCTGCGTTTGTTAATTATCCAGCTAATTAACAAATACATATGCATTCGACAAGTTGTATTGCAATATCTAGATGATAACAATGAAGAGACGTGTATTAAAAGTTTGGTGTTTCGTTCGAACAAGAATCCGCAGTTTAGTGTCCGACTCGGACAGAAAATTCATTATAAAATTGAATGACCAAATAGTTCAGTATACAAGATGTTTTTTTTTGTAAAATAAATAAAAAAACGTAATATATGTACTGGAAATGTGTACTTTATTTTATAACAGCAGTTCCAACTTCTCGTCTATTAGTTTACGGAAACTATTGATTGATTGAATGGTTATTAATGTCCAGTAGCAAATATTATATGCACACCAGGACGAGAATACGTTGACGTGATGTGAAAATGAAGTATTCGTGTTGTCAAGACCTACATACTTGGTCAATTTTTGAACTAGTTCACAAGGTAACAGTCGTTATTCCCGGATTGATACGAGTTGAAGAGTCTTCGTTCTAGTAAGATGTGTGCTTTGGGGCGAAGCGGAAAATAATAATTTTCAATTTTTTTGTAAACCCTAAAGGGATTATATGTTGTTTTTTGCACTCAAGGCTAGTATACGTTATGGTGGTGGTACCGACAATTATGTAGCTGTTTTTCTAAACAATGTCCGTAATATAAAAAGTTCCACTATGTTTACACCAGTTGTATGTATTTATCGTGCACATACATGTCTTACAGGACTATAAATTTCGCTGCATGTTTATTCCTCTTGCTTTTATTCTTTGTGTAGTTTTTAAAATACATACATAGAAAGACCAATTCCTATAAGTTAACTTTGTCCCCCTCTCTCTCTCTCTCTTCTTTTTTTTTTTTTTTTTTTTTTTTGGTGAAAACGACGTGGATGCACGTGCTGTCATGCTTCCGGGTAGCTACGCCCCTGGTATATATTGGATAACTCATATTAATAGTATATACGAACCAGCTTTAACATTTAATTCAACCTCTAGAGGAATGATTTCTGATTTATTCAGTCTGGTGCATTCATAATAGATTTTTTAAAAGTGTTTTGTAACCGGATAACATGTCTGCGCTCAAACCGATTGAGCTAAAGATGTACTTCCCTAACTCAACCGCTTATGGCTTGCTTAGTATCTTCTATGCAAAGGAATCAATTCCCCCCCCCCCCCCCCCAAAAAAAAAAACCTCAAGTGTCATCATATCATTAAGACTCTTTACCCTGGCTAATTTCATCTCTAACCACCGTTTGTGTTTTATTTAGGCGCCGTATGTAACCGGAAAGCATGATTCTTATTAGAAAATCACATTGGAATCGCATTATCTCCTCCTAGACTCGAACCGAGACCTCTGTGTTACAAGTCAGCGTTCTAGCCGACAAAGTAACGTAAGAACTTCCATAACTCATCTGCTAACGACTGGCTAAAAATCTACTATGCAAGGGAAGCAATCCCGTCACTGTTTAGCAATTAAATTACCAACTCTGGCCAATTGGTTTCAAATTGAGGTCAATAAACTCACAAAAAATCGTCCACTTTATTTTGAAAAAAAGTTATAAAGTACAAATATGTTAAGGAATCTTTGCTAATGATTGTTCCTTAATACAAAGCTACTTATAGTAATTCTGCAAGAAAATCAAATACACATTGGCAAATATGACAACGTTGACAAAACTGTCAAAAATATGGGGTTTTTTCAGTTTTTAAAAAAGCATACTATAAGCAAAAACTAACTTGCAAAATAAGTGACTTTTCACAAATATGGGAGATCTTATATGCTTTATGATTCCCTTACTGAGTACGATTTACCTTCTTTCCTTCTTCGTTAAATGGCAGAGCTAACCATGGCATTTCACCAAAGTAGGAGTCAAAATCGTTTTCACTTCTATCTGAACTGACAAACACGATCTCAAATGATGGGTATTCTTGTTTATATTTTGTATATTTTTTTGCTAATACTGGTGTGAAGCTTCGACATGGTGGACACCAATGAGCAGAGAAGTATAAACCTAAAAATAAATGAAATTTACACGTAACCATGATTAGTAATATTTGTCGCAATTGAAAACGCTAGCGCGTTTATATGTGCTAATGTTAAATTGAAAACAAATTAAAAACAAAACTCGGGCTTCTAGTATCAAATCTTAACTTCCTTGCTTTCTTTTGCGTAGAACTTTATTATTAACAACATAATTTGGAGAGAATAAACAGGAAATTTAGATTCTTCCAATTTTAGAATATTCTTTAAATGTACAAAAAGTATAAACAAAAATACCGAACTCCAAGTAAATATTCTGTATACATGATCTTTGAATATTGTTTTTATGGATACTAAAATTGATTTTTTTGTTTTTGCTATACAGTTGAAAATCATGTCGATACTATGTGAAACAGGTGAAACGAGAGAAAAACGGCTTTATTTATGACAAAACAATAAACAGATATAACAGACAGCAACAAACGACAACCATTGAATCAAAAGCTCTTGATTTGGGACAGGCACATACAGAATGTGGCTGGTTAAACATGTTTTTGAGCGCTCAACGCTCTCCTAACGTGGGCAATGGTGTAACAGCACAACATACATGTACAAACAAACTGCAAAAATCAGTTAGAAAAAGCTTAAGGTGGCTCGGCCCTTTAACAGTGCGCATATTTTAACGCATGTTACTAACGACGAGCGCCTTGGAAACGGTCGCCTTGAGGGGTTTTCTCAAAAATAGTTTTGACAACATTGGAACGCGGGCGTGTATGAAAGCACCCTTTCCCGATGTCAACAAACCATGCAAAACGTTCTACAAAAGCCACAAAACAGGAAATACGTACGGTCAGGACTACAGAGTGGTTTGTTCATTTTTCACATAAAAAGGACAGAATTATACATGATATATTAAAGCATAACATTTAAAAAAAGAAAATATAAATATTGACTTGTACGACGGTATCTGGTGCGTTCGCTCCAAAAACACATTCTCACCCTACACGTTCGCCCCTTGGATCGGTTCGCACCCTATTTTCATTTAAATACTGGTTGAATATATCAAAAGATGTCTTTTAGATGTATTAGTATATATATGAAAATATTTTGCCAATGACGCAATGTTTAACCGTAAACAAAGGATAGCGATGTAAACTGCATGTCACCTGTCGGCTTTCAAAAACAAGTAAAACCCAAATAGTATGCTATAGTATAACGGCATCGGGGTTCATCTGCACGCTATAAATAATAAATAAATAAAAAAATAATAAATAAGCTTTATTTAGAGTCGGCAAAGTGTACAAACAGAGTCAACATAAGCTCTAATGAGCTTTTAACCGTTTTATCCGTTTGGCGTTTTTTAACATTTTGTTACTGTCATAAATCTATTTTTTACTTGAAATATCTTCATTTCCAAGTATTGCTGGGATCTTATTCCGGAGTATGTGAAATATTTTTCCACTGCAAAATTTTGATAATATATATAGTTACGTATTTTTTATTTGCCAAAAATTTTTGAACATAACAATTCCGGAGTATGGGAAATATTTTAACACTGCAAAATTTTGATAATAGTTAAGTATTTTTTATTTTCCAAAATTTTTTTTGGACATTACAATTTTCAAACAAAGACTAAATACTTGACAGTCACACATAACATTTTTATTGAAAGATTTATATACTTTATCAAATAATGGGCACGAAAATATCTAACAAATTTTCTCGTATCATGATTCTATGAAATTTGGAACTCTAGTACTATAACATGAGACCTCGGGGCCAATGTTTTCTATTTATAATATTTTCCTTTTACTTATTTTGCTATTTGTTAATTTTCTATTTTCTGTTGTATCTATCAATATGCCAACAGAGTTCGCATTAAAAAAAGAAAGAGGAAATATCAGCGTAAAAACTTAAATAATTGATTAAGAATGAGTTATTATAAAAGACTAACGGAACTCGAGCAACACATTTTTTGTTTTACGCAGAAAAAAAACCGGACATTTCAATAATTTGCAGTTTTCAACCTTCGATCATGTAGATGAAAGAAAATTGGTCAATAGCAACCGGGACCTTACTAGTATTCCGGCCTTATATATCGGTATATGCTATTATCCCTCAATACCACATGCTTTGCGGCGCAAAATATTTGGCTTGACCAAGTCGTGATTTTGCCTAGGACACACATCCGCAGTCTATCGGGCAGTTCCAAACACTACCAGTTAAAGACATTATATATACACAAAATCTATACTACTTACTAGGTTCAGGAAAAGTTGGGATTGTAATTTTAAAACTCCGCCCAGTACACAGGGACGCTATAATAGTCGGTGATATTGGCAAACTTTAACTTCTGTCTTACTTTTTGACATGCGTTTTTTTCAAAAGGGAAGCTAATAAGGAAAGTTCTTGATTTAAAAAAATTAAAGTGGAGTGTGTCATTGCTGCAAGAAATATGCATGACAACTTTTTTAATGATGTGTGAACACTGGTTTGACCCACCTGCTAGCTGCAAAGAAACGTAATTATCGGCCTATGATGATAATATGGAGATACAATTTTTTTTAATATTGACTTTTAAATTTGAACTTTGGTGGATAGTTGTCTCATTGGCAATCATACCACATCTCCTTATTTTCATATCGTAGGGTACAGAAATATGACTTCCCTAATCTGACAGATAATCCCTTGCTATGGCAGGGTGTTCATACAGCTGGATGTATAAATACCTCCGGGGGGGGGGGGAGGGGGGTGGTAGGAGGGGGCACTTCAATACTTAATTGATATGGGGTGCCGCTGGGGCCCACCTTTTTCAAAAATTTATATTTCAAAAATGTATACCTTTTCATATATTGCGTAGGTAAAAATGTAACCTTTTCCCTATTATGCTTGGGGTTTCATGTAGTGTAATGTAAGACTAGAATACCAAAGTCTTAAAAGAGAAAATTTGGTTGATAAAATCACACCCGGGAACACCAAGAAAGATGACAGACGAAGAAGTTATGGAAACTTTATTGACCTTATCATATATTTTTGATAGTTTTCCCGACCTTTTCACATATTTTCAAGCTTGAAAAGGTGACCTATTCCAGCGGCACGTCCCATCACCTTGAATATAGGAAGTGCCCCCTCCCCCACCCCCACCCGAGATAAATACGCAGCCTCGTATGGTAAAAAGGAGGAATTTTGTCCATACCAAGCATGCATTGTCCATTCATTTTCTAGCGACAGTCCATATAATTTTTGTGTTAACAAGAGTGCACAAGCTGAAATGTCTCACCTGCTTTACTAATCATCATTCATGATTGGTTTTATGTTGATATTCCTAAAGATAAAGTTTCACTACAATTATCAGAAAAACTTAATATTATCAATGATCATGAAAAATATCAGATAAACCAATCCAAGCCAGCCTTACACAGTGGCGGAGCCAGAATTTTTCATGAAAAGGGGGGGGGGGGGGGGGGTGACTGTCTAAGAGAGGCCTGCTCCAGTGATTCCCTATATAATCAACCAATGGGCCCTCCCCCTAAATCCGCCTCTGTTACAATCACCCCATCAACCAAATATTTTAAACATATATATAGTATGCCAGTAACAGACAAAACCATGAACATAAGGTTAAGTTCAGATAGACCCTGCAAGACAGGCATATTTGTTTTTCATTCATTATTTTGTACATAAATATGCCATTAGTTTTCTCATTTGAATTGTTTTAAATTGTACATTTGTCATTTGGAGGCCTTTTATACCCAACTATGCAGTATAGATTTTACTCATTGTCGAAGGTCGTATGATGACATTTAGTTGTTTATTTCTGTGTCATTTGGTCTCTTGTGGAGTGTCTCATTTACAATCATATCACATCTTTTTACTTAATATTTCAATATATACATTTAATAATCATACCATACACCAAAAATAATAACCCATTGATTACACAATGTAGCATGTTAAAAGAGGACTTACCATTGACCAATGAACCATGCAAATGTGGTCAATGACAATTGCCAGACAGACATGTACTCCTTACATTTGTGAATCATTGCATACATATAGTTTATCTACTACATGTACTTTTAGTATTAGAAAAAACAGACAAAAACACAAAAACATGACATTGACAAATGACCTATTGCTAACAGTATCTGATAAACAACCCTAATCAGGTAACTTTCACCTTGATCACTGATCCATGAAATGTGCTTGAGATCTTTGTAGCAATCTGTATTAATTTGAGTGCATATCTAAATTTACAAAACAAAATTAATCTGGATTATTGTGATACTATAAATTTAGAAATTATTGTGAGGTTATTATTAGTGCAAATAATGCGACAGGGTGAATATCGCAAAAATTATAATAAGAACTTGCATTCTGATAACTGAATTATAGATCTTTATGCAGATTTTTTTTGTAATCGCAATAATTAAACTCGAAATTTAGTCCATTCGTCAATAAAATGCTCCGCAGGGCGCAGCTTGATACGACCGCAGAGGTCGAACCCTGAACAGTTGGGGGAAGTATGGACACAACATTCAAGCTTGATACAGGTTTGGATTTGGATTGTGATTAAATATTTGACACAGCATAGGTTTCTAACACAGATTGAATGTGGTCTAAGAACTTAAAAATTTTAAATTGGACATTCACCTATTATGGTCCAATATCCAAAATCTAAATACATGGTTAGATTCAGCATATCAAAGAACCCCAAGAATTCAATTTTTGATGAAATCAAACAAAGTTTAATTTTGGACCCTTTTGACCTCAATGTGAACAAAGTTGATAACGGGGCCCAAAAATCAAAAATCTAAATACATGGTTAGATTCAGCATATCAAAGAACCCCATATATTCCATTTTTGTTGAAATCAAACTAAGTTTAATTTTGGACCCCGATTTGGACCAACTTGAAAACTGGGCCCATAATCAAAAATCTAAATACATGTTTAGATTCAGCATATCAAAGAACCCTAAGAATTCAATTTTTGTTAACATCAAACTAAGTTTAATTTTGGACCCTTTGGACCTTAATGTAGACCAATTTGAAAACGGAACCAAAATTTAAGAATCTAAATACACAGTTAGATTCGGCATATCAAAGAACCCCAATAATTCAATTTTTGATGAAATCAAACAAAGTTTAATTTTGGACCCTTTGGACCTCAATGTGGACCAATTTAAAAACGGGGCCCAAAATCCAAAAACTAAATACACGGTTAGATTCAGCATATTAAAGAACCCCATGAAATCAAGAATAAAACCCCATTGAAATTGGTCAAGAAATAAGCAATTTATAGGAAGTATCTTCTTTTGCACAATCCTGTGCTATTAAATATTTCTTGCTATTGCGCAATACTGTACAATTGACAATTTCTTGCTATTGCGCAATATTGTGCTATTGGATATTTCTTGCTATTGCGCAATACTGTGCAATTGAAGATTTCTTGCTATTGCGCAATACTTTGCAATTGAAGATTTCTTGCTATTGTGCAATACTGTGCAATTGAAAATTTCTTGCTATTGCACAATACTTATTATATAATAATTTACACATCCTGTTTGGTGTGTATCTCCTACCATATCATTATTATTTGATTTTAAATATAAATCAGAAATAACCAACTTAAAATGGAAAATTTTAAAAGAAACAAAAAAGGAAAAAAAGAAAAAAAATGAAAAAAAAATAAATCCCCCCCCAAAATTTTTTGAACCCCCATTATGATTCATCACCCCCAAACTCAATCCCAGCCTTCCCTTTGTGGTATGGTACCTTGCAGTACAATTTCAGAGAGATCCATACACTTGAACACAAGTTATTGTCTGGAAACTAGAAAAAAATGTGTTTTTTGGCCCCTTTTTGGCCCCAAATTCCTAAACGTTTAGGGCAATTACCCCCAAACTCAAACCCAGCTTTCCCTTTGTGATATGGAACCTTGTAGTACAATTTCAGAAAGATCCATACACTTACACACAAGTTATTGTCATGAAACTAGAAAAATGCTTGTTTTTTGCCCCTTTTTTGGCCCCTAATTCCTAAAATTTGGAGGCAATTACCCCCAAAATCAATCCCAGCATTCCCTGTGTGATATGGAACCTTGTGGTACAATGTCAGAGAGATCCATACACTAACACACAAGTTATGTCTGGAAGTTACAAAAATGCTTATTTTTGGCCCCTTTTTGGCCCCTAATTCCTTTAATGTTATTACCATAACTCCCAAAATCAATCCCAACCTTCCTTTTGTGGTATTGAACCTTGTGGTAAAATTTCATAAAGATCCATTCACTTAAACTAAAGTTAGAGTGCGAAAACCAATGTGTCTTCGGACGACGCCGGACGCCGGACGACGACGACGCCAACGTCATACCAATATACGACCACAAAAAATTTTTTGCGGTCGTATAAAAATCGCAATAATAAATGCACGCAATAATTTCTGAATTTACAGTAGGTAAAAATGTTGTCAGTTAATAGTGAGACACAAGTTTTCCCAGACAATATATAATTCTTTTGGTTGTTTCGTTTGGTTGCTGTCTCATTGAACAAAACTGTATTTTATTTCTCCTTTTATCCAGAAAATATAACTTTTGAAATAGAAACTGAATAGCATATGGATGGAAAACAAATGCCAAATGATGTAAAATAATTCAAGTGGCCATTTAGGTCAGGGGTTGGTGAGGTAAAAGATGAGGCAAAGGCATGTGCATTTACCACAACTGCCACTTGGTATTATGATTTCCAAAATTTCCAAATCTCATAGCTACCTTCTGTATTAAAGACAACTGCATATATTGCAGTTTGCATATCATGAATTGTGTTTGCAGCAAAATTTACTACAGACAGCAAAAAAAGCTCTATTAAAATTCATTTTTTGAAACATTTTTGATTTTTATTCCTAAAATGTCTATGAGATCAAATTTATAAAACATTTATTAGCATTGTAAATTTCAATATACTAGTAATTGTTGACATGTATACATCATGTACATGTACAATCATTAGCTGATCAGCTCTATATTTTCATTATTTTTATATCAATATTCTTCATCAGTGTTTTTTATAAGACTCAATAATCTGTATTCATCATTGGGACAGGTAGGTAAAGTAGGTCCTTTTGATCTTGGATTTTTTTTTTATGGATTTTGACAGCACTAAAGCATATAGTTCCAAATTATAGTTGATCTTGGCTTTTTAAGTGGATTCTGACAACACTTTGCATATAGACACCAAGTGTAGATGATCTTGGGTTCTCTCATATGGATTCTGACAGTACTTTGATTATACATGTAGTTCTAAGTATTGTTGATCTTGGCTTCTAATGTTGTTCTTAAGTTTCTGCACTTTACATATAGTTCCCAATTGCAAGACAAGATGATACTGGCTTCTCGTGTAAATTCTGTCAGTTCTTTGCCAATAGTTTCCAAGTAAAGTTGAACATTCCAGGATCTTTCACAACAAATCACTCCTTCCTCTTACATGTACTTGAAGCCTGAAATTAAATGTCAGAGTAATTCTGTCAGAAAATCAACCATGATTGACATTTAAAAGCATAATGTAGTTCATATTTTAAATAAATGGGGAATGTGTCCATGGTCCACTTGCATATAAAGTTATAAAGGAGCATAACTAAAGAACGGTAAGAGTGACACTACCCAAAGTTTTACTTGATCTGAATTTTGTTGTAATAAGTAATGTGTATAAGTTTCATAACATTTGGATGAGGCAAACTAAAGTTAGAGAACAGAAACAAATAAAATGCTTCGCTGGGGCGCAGCTTGATACGACCGCAGAGGTCGAACCCTGAACAGTTGGTGCAAGTATGGACACAACATTCAAGCTTGATACAGCTCTGAATTTGGATTGTTATTAAATATTTGACACAGCATAGGTTTCTGACACAGAAAGAATGTGGTCTAAGAACTTGATTTTTTTTAATTTACCTATTATGGTCCAATGTCCAAAATCAAAATACATGGTTAGATTCAGCATATCAAAGAACCCCATATTTTCAATTTTTGTTGAAATCAAACAAAGTTTAATTTTGGACCCCAACTTGGACCAACTTGAAAACTGGGCCCATAATCAAAAATCTAAACACATGTTTAGATTCAGCATATCAAAGAACCCCAATAATTCAATTTTTGCTAAAATCAAACTAAGTTTAATTTTGGACCCTTTGGACCTTAATGTAGACCAATTTAAAAAACGGGACTTAAAATTAAAAATCTAAATACACGGTTAGATTTGGAATATCAAAGAACCCCAATAATTCAATTTTTGATGAAATCAAACAAAGTTTAATTTTGGACCCTTTTGACCTCAATATGAACCAATTTGATAGCGGGGCCCACAAATAAAAAATCTAAATTCATGGTTAGATTCAGCATATCAAAGAACCCCATATATTCAATTTTTGTTGAAATAAAAAAAAAAGTTTAATTTTGGACCCCAACTTGGACCAACTTGAAAACTGGGCCCATAATCAAAAATCTAAACACATGTTTAGATTTAGCATATCAAAGAACCCTAAGAATTCAATTTTTGTTAAAATCAAACTAAGTTTAATTTTGGACCCTTTGGACCTCAATGAAGACCAATTTTAAAAAATGGGACCCAAATTAAAAATCTAAAACACGGTTAGATCTGGCATATCAAAGAACCCCAATAATTCAATTTTTGATGAAATCAAACAAAGTTTAATTTTAGACCCTTTTGACCTCAATATGAACCAATTTGATAGCGGGGCCCACAAATAAAAAATCTAAATACATGGTTAGATTCAGCATATCAAAGAACCTCATATATTCAATTTTTGTTGAAATCAAACAAAGTTTAATTTTGGACCCCAATTTAGACCAACTTGAAAACTGGGCCCATAATCAAAAATCTAAATACATGTTTAGATTCAGCATATCAAAGAACCCCATATATTCAATTTTTGTTGAAATCAAACAAAGTTTAAATACTGGACCCTATCTTGGACCAACTTGAAAACTGGGCCCATAATCAAAAATCTAAACACATGTTTGGATTCAGCATATCAAAGAACCCCAAGGATTCAATTTTTGTTAAAATCAAACTAAGTTTAATTTTGGACCCTTTGGACCTCAATGAAGACCAATTTTAAAAAATGGGACCCAAATTAAAAATCTAAAAACACGGTTAGATTTGGCATATCAAAGAACCCCAATAATTCAATTTTTGATGAAATCAAACAAAGTTTAATTTTAGACCCTTTTGACCTCAATATGAACCAATTTGATAGCGGGGCCCACAAATAAAAAATCTAAATACATGGTTAGATTCAGCATATCAAAGAACCTCATATATTCAATTTTTGTTGAAATCAAACAAAGTTTAATTTTGGACCCCAATTTGGACCAACTTGAAAACTGGGCCCATAATCAAAAATCTAAATACATGTTTAGATTCAGCATATCAAAGAACCCCATATATTCAATTTTTGTTGAAATCAAACAAAGTTTAAATACTGGACCCTATCTTGGACCAACTTGAAAACTGGGCCCATAATCAAAAATCTAAACACATGTTTAGATTCAGCATATCAAAGAACCCCAAGAATTCAATTTTTGTTAAAATCAAACTAAGTTTCATTTTGGACCCTTTGGACCTTAATGTAGACCAATTTAAATAAAATGCTTCGCTGGGCGCAGCTTGATACGACCGCAGAGGTCGAACCCTGAACAGTTGGGGCAAGTATGGACACAACATTCAAGCTTGATACAGCTCTGAATTTGGATTGAAGTTTAATTTTGGACCCCAACTTGGACCAACTTGAAAACTGGGCCCATAATCAAAAATCTAAACACATGTTTAGATTCAGCATATCAAAGAACCCCAAGAATTCAATTTTTGTTAAAATCAAACTAAGTTTCATTTTGGACCCTTTGGACCTTAATGTAGACCAATTTAAATAAAATGCTTCGCTGGGCGCAGCTTGATACGACCGCAGAGGTCGAACCCTGAACAGTTGGGGCAAGTATGGACACAACATTCAAGCTTGATACAGCTCTGAATTTGGATTGAAGTTTAATTTTGGACCCCAACTTGGACCAACTTGAAAACTGGGCCCATAATCAAAAATCTAAACACATGTTTAGATTCAGCATATCAAAGAACCCCAAGAATTCAATTTTTGTTAAAATCAAACTAAGTTTAATTTTGGACCCTTTTGACCACAATGTGGACAAAGTTGATAACGGGGCCCAAAAATCAAAAATCTAAATACATGGTTAGATTCAGCATATCAAAGAACCCCATATATTCAATTTTTGTTGAAATCTAACAAAGTTTAATTTTGGACCCTTTTGACCTCAATATGAACCAATTTGATAGCGGGGTCCACAAATAGAAAATCTAAATACATGGTTAGATTCAGCATATCAAAGAACCCCATATATTCAATTTTTGCTGAAATCAAACAAAAAAAGTTTAATTTTGGACCCCAATTTGGACCAACTTGAAAACTGGGCCAAAAATCAAAATACATGTTTAGATTCAGCATATCAAAGAACCCCATATATTCAATTTTTGTTAAAATCAAACAAAGTTTAATTTTGGACCCTTTGGACCTTAATGTAGACCAATTTGAAAACTGGACCCAAAATTAAAAATCTAAATACACAGTTAGATTCGGCATAACAAATAAATAAATGTGGTCAAAGATTTTACAAATCTAATGCGCCATACTGTCCAATTAAAGATTACTTCTTGAAATTTTTTAATATTTGAAATTTGAAAAAAAAAAAAATATTTGAAGAATAATTCTTTTTAATTTCTGAAATCTGAAATGAGAAAAAATTGACCCCCCACAATTTCTTTAACCCCTCCCCCCCCCCTTTTTTCCCCCAAAAAATTCTTTCCCTCAAGATATGGTCATAATCTCAATTCAAATTTCCAATGGAGTTTGCAACCATAATCACCCATTGAAATTTACCATAGTGCTAACTTAATCTATTTTATAAAAAAATTTAAAATATAGTGTCAAATCTTTCATATGGATTTTGTTGTAAAAAAAAAAGATTCAACATTTGCAGATATTTTTACTGGTCTTCCTTTATAAATATGCATTTCTTTAAACATAATTTAAAAGCAGTGTAAGGGAAGTAACCAAAACGTTGTATTTGGATTACCTCCCTTACACTGTTTTAAATTATCTTAATTGTTCATTAACCATTACTTTATACATAATTTAAAAGCAGTGTAAGGGAGATAATTTCAATGATGTATTTGATTTATCTCCCTTACACTGCTTTAAATTATGTTTTGTACTAAAGTATTTGTCCATTAACCAGGACAACCTTGTTTTTCCCCCTTTTTTGCCCCTAATTCTTAAACGGTTTGAGCCATAACCCCCCAAAGCAAATCCTAACCATCCCTTTGTGGTATGGAAACTTTTAGTATAATTTCAGAGAGATCCATACACCGTTCCACAGTTATTGTCTGGAAACTAGAAAATGCTTATTTTTGGCCCCTTTTTGGCCCCTAATTCCTTAACTGTTGGTACCATAACTCCCAAAATCAATCCCCACCTTCCTTTTGTGGTATTGAACCTTATGGTAAAATTTCATAGAGATCCATTCACTTAAACTAAAGTTAGAGTGCGAAAACTAATGCGTCTTCGGACGACGACGCAGGACGACGACGACGCCAACGTCATACCAATATACGACCACAAAAATTTTTTTGCGGTCGTATAAAAACAGGACCCAAAATTAAAAATCTAAATACACGGTTAGATTTGGAATATCAAAGAACCCCAATAATTCAATTTTAGATGAAATCAAACAAAGTTTAATTTTGGACCCTTTTGACCTCAATATGAACCAATTTGATAACGGGGTCCACAAATAAAAAATCTAAATACATGGTTAGATTCAGCATATCAAAGAACCCCATATATTCAATTTTTGTTGAAATCAAACAAAGTTTAATTTTGGACCCCAATTTGGACCAACTTGAAAACTGGGCCAAAAATCAAAAATCTAAATACATGTTTAGATTCAGCATATCAAAGAACCTCATATATTCAATTTTTGCTAAAATCTAACAAAGTTTAATTTTGGACCCTTTGGACCTTAATGTAGACCAATTTGAAAACTGGACCCAAAATTAAAAATCTAAATACACTGTTAGATTCGGCATAACAAATAAATAAATGTGATCAAAGATTTTACAAATCTAATGCGCCATACTGTGCAATTAAAGATTACTTCTTGAAATTTTTCAATATTTGAAATTTGAAAAAAAAATAATATTTGAAGAATAATTCTTTTTAATTTCTGAAATCTGAAATGAGAAAAAATTGACCCCCCACAATTTCTTTTTATCCCCCCCCCCTTTTTTTCCCCAAAAAAATTCTTTCCCTCAAGATATGGTCATAATCTCAATTCAAATTTCCAATGGAGTTGGCAACCATAATTACCCATTTAAATTTACCATAGTGCTAACTTAATCTATTTTATAATAGAATTAAAAATATAGTGTCAAATCTTTCATATGGATTTTTTTGTAAAAAAAAAAGATGCAACATTTGCAGATATTTTTACTGGTCTTCCTTTATAAATATGTATTTCTTTAAACATAATTTAAAAGCAGTATAAGGGAAGTAACCAAAACGTTGTATTTGGATTACCTCCCTTACACTGTTTTAAATTATCTTTATTGTTCATTAACCATTACTTTATACATAATTTAAAAGCAGTGTAAGGGAGATAATTTCAATGATGTATTTGATTTATCTCCCTTACACTGCTTTAAATTATGTTTTGTACTAAAGTATTTGTCCATTAACCAGGACAACCTTGTTTTTCCCCCTTTTTTACCCCTAATTCCTAAACGGTTTGAGCCATAACCCCCCACAGCAAATCCTAACCATCCCTTTGTGGTATGGAAACTTGTAGTATAATTTCAGAGAGATCCATACACCGTTCCACAGTTATTGTCTGGAAACTAGAAAATGCTTATTTTTGGCCCCTTTTTGGCCCCTAATTCCTTAACTGTTGGTACCATAACCCCCAAAATCAATCCCAACCTTCCTTTTGTGGTATTTAACCTTATGGTCAAATTTCAAAAAGATCCATTCACTTAAACTAAAGTTAGAGTGCGAAAACCAATGTGTCTTCGGACGACGACGCCGGACGACGACAACGACGCCAACGTCATACCAATATACGACCACAAAATTTTTTTGCGGTCGTATAAAAATTCAGCAATTTTTCCATTTGTAAAGGGGCATAACTCTAGAACAGTAAAAGTGACACCACCAAAAAAAAATCAAACTTGATCTGTGTTTGTTGGTAATAAGCATTGTGTATAAGTTTCATAACATTTGGTTGAGGCAAACTGAAGTTATAGAACGGACACCAATTTTGGGACATACGTACAGACAGACAAGGTGTTTAATTGTAAACAAATTGTGATCAAGACGAATCCATCAATAAAATGTATTGCCTCGTACTGTAGTGGTTATAATTTACAAATCAGGCCATTTATATATTCTCAAGAAAACAAACGAAACAATCGAACCCCTTGAGCGGGTAGTCCTATAATATATGCCTTCGCATTATATATTCACTATTTAACGTTTTCATGCTGATATTTTCATTTTTTTTTTTGGAGGCACATTGACAATAAAAAAAAAAGAAAAGAAAAATAGCAAAATCAGTAAAAAGAAAACAGAAATAGAAAATAATGCCCCCGAGTTCATATATTATAGGATTACTTGAGCGGGTGGACAGGGATAAGGGAACATGGGAATGAGGGATCAGGAAGCGAGAAAAGGGGGTATTATGTGCAGGTCCATTACCGTTAATTAGCCTGGTCGGAGTGAAAATAAAAGTAACCAATTTGGTAGAAGTAAATCTTATGAAGATTATAAATAGAAAAAAAACCTTAGATCTCGTGTGAGTCACTTTATTTTTAAACAATAAAAATAAACTTAATATATCTTTATTTTATTGTTACAGAACTATACTAACAAAAGCATGATTTGGATAAAAGGAAGAATACAAACAGACTCAGGGTGGGAATGTAAAAGGGATGAACGTGAATTGGAGCGAACATGATTTTGGGTGAAAGGACAAGAATTCGAAAAAAGGGGGGGATGAATAATCTGGGAAACATATTTTGCAATTTTTTTGTCTGGGAGCAAGGGGGATGGAAGTAGAAGTTAGGGGAGAAAATTTTAGAGTAAAAGGGAAGAGAAATGGGAGTTGGGGATAGGGAGTGGTAATCATGAACCCCTGTCCGAGGGAAGTTATGGGGTACCCCATTTTACAGGTTGGGACCAAACCCTCTATATGGTTTTCAGGGGTGGATCCAGCCATTTATAAAAGGGGGGGGGGGGGTTCCTTACCCAGGATAAAGGAGGGGTTCCAACTATATGTCCCCATTCAAATGCATTGATCGTCAAAAAAAAGGGGGGGGTTCCAACCCCAAGAACCCCCCCTGGATCTGCCACTGGTGTTTAAACCTGTATAGAGGAATAATCCTTCTATAGAGGGGAATTTTTGTTTAGACTGGATTTAAAGCAAAATAGGGCAGAATGGCATTTTCTACTTATTATGGCAGTAACCTGCTACATTTGATGCACCAATTGATGTACTAAATTTCATTTCACATGCCCAGTTTACTGCTAAACTGACTGAATATACAATCTATTGTACACCATAATTGAAAGCTGTGATGATCAGGTAAATTCCACTCAGTTATGCCTCACTGAACAGAATTTCTATTGTTAGATTTAACATAAAATTTAAAGGTCAACTGCATGTCCCTTTTGTTGTTGATCAGGTGTTCAGATATGTATACAATAGATTGCAAGTTCTGTCACTTTAGCAGAAAACTGGGCATCCCAGGCCATTTTTTGGTAAAGAAATACAGAATACAGTAAAGTGCAAAAATTGATGCATATATAGTGCTATAGATTATAGCAAATATAACTAGAAAATGCCATTCTGCCCTATTTTGCTTTAAATCCAGTCTACACAAAAATACCCCTCTTTTATCCCTCTGTAGAAGGATTATTCCTCTCAGTATACAGGTATAAACACCATGTAGAGGGTTTGTTCCCAACCTGTTTTACTAGTCATTATAGACGCTAACGATAAATATTTAACTTCATTTGACCCTAAGGGAGCTACCATTTGATTTTTATGGGGGGGGGGGGGGGGGGGGGGGGGGCTAGGATGAAATTTGAAAAAATAGGCAGGACAGGAGTTTGGAGTAAAAAAAAAAGGCAGAATGAGCAACACGGGTAAAAAAAAAAGGCAGGATGACAATTTGTGTAAAAAAATTCATGATAAACTAGTAAAAAAAAGGCAGGACCGAATAGAGTAAAAAAATAAAAAGGCAGGACAGAGATTACAACTAAAAAAAAAAAGCAGGACAACATTTTTCATCCTAGCCCCCCCCCCCCTCCCATAAAAATCAAATGGTAGCTCCCTAACGTGGCTACGAATAAGTTTTTACGAATGACGATATAAAATCAAGACTTATTTGACGCTAACGCTAACGATAGCGCAGATCATCATGATCATGAGATGCTGAAAATGACCATCCCCTCCTCTTTGACACGGATATTTTTTCAAAACAGGCTATACATGTTCACAACTTGCCAGTTAACAGGTTAAGGGTCAAGTAAACACATAAATAAGATACCAGCCATAACGATTATACATAGAACAGAAATTTAGCCCATGCAAGGTTTCAGCCGCAGTGATTTTCTACAGTAATGTCAGTATCGAGTATAATTTTTTGAGATAACCCCCCACTTTGTATTTTTCGTGATACTGATAACATTTGGCTGTCTAATATATTAAAATCTATGTTTTCTTATGTAATAACTCTACCTTCATCGTTGTCTATTCGCCACTATGTCTGTTATTCATGCACATGGTCGTATTTATCAGTGCAGTATGCTGCTCAGCAATGGCGACCCTGAAATTTCTGTTGTCCGATTATGGCGCCAGATTAGAGGGAAGCAACTCGCGCCAGACAAAATTACCGTATTTCAACAAAATAATCAAAATTTCGCTTTTTTATAACAAACAGTAAAATGTTCATCACATTTATATTCAGCTTTCGTCCATTGATATAATTACAAACATTATTTATTTAAAGATATTAATAAAAAAATCACAATAAAGTTATTAATGGAGTGCATTGAAATCAGACCTCATGGGGTAGAGGGGTTAAACACAAGCTCGTAACTTTTTTAAAAGCCTGGTGACCCCCATTTTATTTTACCTTAAAATGCTCGAAAAGTTCATAGCTTTGACATATCCGTTTTTAAAAAAAATCTACCGGGGAAATTTTACGAAAAATCGATTTAACCAATATTTTTAGCCTTAAACTGAAATTAAAAAATGCCAAATTTAGACATAAATCTGAAAATAAAAAGATTTTTAAGTCTAAAACAACCAAGGGGAACGTTTACATTTCAAATTTAATTGTTTTTTCACATAATAATCATACTGACATGGTTCTAAAAGTCTTTGAATTTGATGTAGTCGTTATTGTTGAAAGGGTGTAAAAGTTTGGAAATAGGGTCAAAATCGCACATTTCGCTTCCATTTGAGGGGAAAACGAGCCTGGTGACCCCCTTTTTTCTTTGCATTTTTGGATTCAGCATAAAAAAATCTACAAAATATGTGAAAATGAAAAAATTCTACCGGGGGTCCTTATTGGGGTGAGCCACCTTAACTCATCAGATCGGCACGAAGCAGAAAAAATAACTAACATTATTATGTCATAAATACAAAAGACACAAAGTACCGATATAAGAGTACTCACAGTTATTGAAAGCTAGTTCAAAGCCAACAACAACTTATAAATAAATCATGTTCTTCCTGACTAAAGTATCAATTAGTACAAATCCAACGGATTAGGTGTAAAGACGACATGAATAGTCTAAAAAGCATGATGTTTGTACAATGCCAATAACTTTAACAAAGTCTTTACAACAGAGATTTCGACATAATCATAATATATACACTAATTTTGTATTAACTTTTCAAGTTTTAGATGAATTTTGACCAAGATATATATCATTGATATAGTTTGTCGTGAACGACTTTAAACATATTAACTTACTCAGTATATATTTTGAAAATTATTAGAAAAAAATATTAATTTACATTAGGCCTACATTTGACAAATTTTCCGGTTTCCAGTTTTCGTAGATTTCATAATTGAAATGTTGTTTTTGACTCAAAATAGTGAATTTCGGTAATGAAATCGTGTCAGTTTCCTTATTCAATCAAGTTTGTTATGTTTTAAATAAGGTTAAATTTGACAAAATTTCCGGTTTCCTATTTTCCAAGATTTAATGATAAAATCTTAGCTAATCCTCAAAATACTAATGTTTGGTAGTGAAATTTTGTCAGTTTCCTTATACAATAATTTTTAAGATGTTTAAATAGATTTATATTGTAATGAAAGATGTTTTTCCTTTTAATACCATTATCTTCAAATTTCCCAGTTTTATTTTTAACCAAAATTCACCAATTTCCACCACTATTAGCTTGGAAGACTTTCATTATATCAAATATGATGATGTCCTGGACACAAACTCTCAAGTAGTTATGTTGCAATTGTATTAATATTAAAGCCTTTTCTGCATAGATTGACTTAACTATAAGCCACCAACCACCGATTTATCATTTTTTTGTAATACATTTTTCTTGGTCTTCTCTGGTTTAGTTTCCTACATATACAGAGAATTGGTGTGTTTCTGGTTTTTTCCTGAACATTTTTAACAAATATCACAAAAGACTCCTTTAGCCTGCTATACTCCTTGTTTGCTTTTTTCATATAGGAAAATGATTACATTATTACATTATAACTTTTTTGGTTTTATCCCCGTGCTCAATGAAGTGGCGGAGATAATAAAAATGTTAAGTTGTTCTTCACTCATGAATCTACCCCCACGACGACAATGCGAGACCCTCATGGGAAGTAAAGGTCGTTAAACACGCCCCTAGTAGAAGACAAATATCAAAATTCCGAAACCTTCGTCACAAAATACATGTATAGTTTTCACATTGTGCCAGAAGTTGTACCATTTTTAGACCAAAATCAACACGTTTACCGTGCCGAAATATTTTTAATCAAAATGCAATTTAATCCATAGACAACACGCATGTTCTCAAATTAGTAGGTCCTAAATCTGTATTTGCACAACAGCCTTTCCTTAGAGGTAAATATTAAAGTGTATAAATTTCTTTTGTTTAATTTCAACTGGATATCATCCTGTTATAGAATGATTATTCTACAAATCATGTAGCATTTTGTACAGATGGACGAACTTACAGCGACGATGCGTGACTACGGCAGTTTTATTCAAGTCCTCGACGAAATAAGATATGACGAAAGGTATGGTCGTAAAAAATGAAACAAGAACACTTGATTACAACGTGTATTTACAAATGTAAAAAAGCTTCTTTTACACGGGAGTTTGTAAGGTATTTTGAAAGATCTATTTTAATTTACATGATTTTACGTGGGGACCTTTCCTTTGCATTCATAAATGCGGAACGTAATGTTAAGGACAAATTCTAGCTTCTTTTCATTCTTCTTGAGAAGCTCCAGCATATATCCAGGGTCTGCTTTTTGGAATAAAAGAACAAGTCGCACGTGAAAAGTCGAAGGAGGAGAGCAGTCGGCTTCCGTAGGAAAGCAGACTGTCTATTGAAAACACATTTACCCTAGCAAATCTTTCTGTCTTAAAAAAACATACATGTACTAGTATTATACTTTTTATACGCTTCCGTATGTACGTAGGCCTATGTATTGAGACTTTCACCTTAAAATAAACATATAAGAGTAAATTAAGATAAGTTGATTTACTTACCAACAACTTTTCCACTGCCGCTAAATGATTCAGTGCTGACGAAGTTCGACCCATTATTTCCCTTTACAGTTCCTCCTAAATATTCAATAATTTTGTTAGACATTTTTGACGAAATAAGATGTGATAACCTACGTGGCTTAATATGCTCTAATGGATGACAAACAATATTTTAATATACTCAGCGTTATAAAATGCACATAGAAAATTAAGCTTGGAGTTATTCTAAGTATCTGAGATTGTTTGTATTGTTACCAGTGTAGTTAATAAAAACATGCCAATAAATGATCAATCACTGCGTCATTTTCACTGTCTTAAAGCTCTGACCGACTTGCTCTTTGTCTTTCCTACAAACATCAATCGGAAAACAATAAAACAGAATTATGTCTCGCCTGTTTAAAAAGCAGCAGACTCAAAAGGCAGTATATAATGTCTTCACAAGCACACTTTATCAGGAACAATGAAAAAATTTAAGAAAAAATAGTAGCATAAGGAGCATAGAAGCGTGACAGACAAGCACAACTGTTGCAATGCTTCTATCATTTTTCAAACGGGTTCTTCATCAAGGTATTTTTTTACCTTAACTGTATAATAAACATAATTGAAGATTAATTTATAAGTCATAAGATAAGCAAGTTTTGCTCATACAGGCTCGCGTCCAGAATATTTCATGAAGGCCTCGGTTTAAATGGGAACTCAGTCCAGCCTATATTTCGTCAATTTTTACATGATTGAAAAAATAACAAAGAAAGGAGGGAGATAATCCAACCCCATCAATTCCAATATGTTAAAAGAATCTGAAATACTTTGATTCTTGCATATCTATGAACCTCATTTATACGAGTCTTAAATATTGCATTCATGCAAATATACATATAAAATGCATAAATGCTAAACCGACAAAACACGAAAGTTTTAGTATGCGTTGTAAAAATGGGATATTAGATATACGTCAATGTGACAGTAAAATGAGTTTTAAATGCTTTGGATGTAAATCCTGTTGCGTTTTTATCCCTGTTTTGTATAAAATTATCATCGGCTAACCTACGCCAATTTTATAAACCAATCACTGTCTGGTATTTATACAGTATTGTCATAATATGAATGTTGGTATTTATATTTATATTTTCAAATGATGACAACGCATCATATATGTTAAATGAAGTGAAATAGATCAAATTGTGATGAATTTCCTTAAGCCGGATACCTCATTATTACCGGGACACTTCAACTAACTACATATATACAACTTACATATTTGAGATGTGTTTGTTTTTAATAAACTACGTAAGCGCTGTATAAATAATACGTTTTTCTATCTATATCTCAATTTAGATTAAGTCCTAAGTTTACAGTTATATTTGATTTCACCTTTTTTAAGGTTTTCAAAAAGATGTTTTTTTTTCAATTACTAGTATATCTTTCTACCCCAGGTAGATTACCTTATATGGATTTGACGAAATCTTTCGGAATTTTGGGTCCTCGATGCTCTTCAACTGCGTACTTTATTTGGCCTTTTCAACTTTTTTGATTCGAGCGTCACTGATGAGTCCTTTGTAGCGAAACGCGCGTCTGGCGTATAACATTTTAATCCTGGTATCTATGATGAGTTTATATACATTCAAAGTAAAAGTAATCATCCTCCTTTTCCTTACCCATATATTGTTTTCCAGATCGGTACTTGAGTAACAACACTCGATAAGTATCGTACAAATAATGTTTTTATAGAATGTTTCAGTGAGCAAGTCCCGAGAAGTATTCCATGCATCTATCTATGTACGAGAAATAAAAAAAATGATATGGGATGGATAACGATATACTTCAGACTCAAATGTAAAGAAGGAGACTACATTTGACGGAGTATATATCTCCCAGTTGATACGATATTCCAGGGCTTGTATATCCTATCATGATTTCTTTGATAGAGGGTTGCTGCTCACAAGGAAGCTATTAAACCAAGAGTTCCAAGTGTTGAAGTTGTAATCATCTCTTCGTAAATTTTAAGGACGCCATCACGAGTTGGTTGAACGTTATGGAATATCTGTTTCACAGATGACAACGAATATGTACATTTATCGTAACTACAATCCCGTCCCCTTTTCCCCGAATGTGACCTACCGAATTAGACTTATCACCGGGTATGTACTAACATAAGCAACATGACGGGTGTCACGTGTGTATCAGGATCTGCTTACCCTTCCGGTGCACCTGAAATCACCTCCAGATTTTCTCATCATAACGACGTCTACAAGCGTAAAAGTTTTTCAAATTTGTTCTTTTCAGAAATAACATAGACAATTAAAATGACTTGCCGACGATAATCCTTATAGGCTTTTGTATTTATTTTCATAATTACCCGTCTTACCAACATTGCAAACGTTTCTATATAAATATCATAAGGGGTAAAGACATTTAATGGGCATCCCTGTAATTTTTCCGCCGATTTAAGTATATAGTTGTACAATAAGAAGTTATGAATTTTTTTGGTAACTTCTTTTTGGTTAACTTAATTGCGTCCCTTGACTTCATAAACCCAATAAAATGACATTTTCCCATTCCTTATCTACATTACTTGCAGATATGAAATAACTGTGAGTTTTGACTCTGTGTTGAAATCCATTTCGTGATTTGAGACGAAGAACATCAATGAAAGTGATGTTCTTTTGCTTTGAGTTTATCCCATTGTGTCATCAATCAATACACATATCCTTCTTTTCCATTGCACAATGAGTAGTTCCCAAGAAACGCAAGCACGAGAGCGGTTACAATGCAATTTTCCATATAATTTCTTTTGCAAATGGCATGTTTCCAGTAAATCGGCTCCGATTGTCGAACTCATATGAAAAATGGCAAGAGTCTTTAGATATCAATTTCATGAAAATCCAAAAAATGTAGGCTTTAGAGCGCATTGAATGCTATACAGTTGCAAGAGACACAACTCCCTTAAAATAGTAGATATGTCCTGATTGTTAAACCTTTGATATTAATTACACAATAATCCGACAAGATATGGGAGAATTTCGGTTGCGTCAAAAAATGCGTCCTTTTGCACCACAAGTCATTTGCGCCAATGCAACGTTTGCGCCACTAGTTTTTTAATGCCTAGTATCATTTGTGTCAAAAATAAAGGATACGATTGCGCTAAATTTATTTCAATAAAAAGCAACAATGAACCGGCATTTTACATTAACTGAGTTAAAGGTCATTTAGAGTTGTTTAATAAAACTTGTCCAAAAATACAAACATAGATGAACTAGTATACATTTTTGTTTAGGGGCCAGCTGAAGCCCGCCTCCGGGTGCGGGATTTTCTCGCTGTGTTGTAGACCCATTGGTGGCCTTGGGCTGTTTTCTGCTCTTTTGTCGGGTTGTCATCTCTTTGACACATTCCCCGTTTCCATTCTCAATTTTATAGATGAAAATGAAAAAAAAACAGTTCATTGTAGTGCTTAGGAAATGCCTCTGGTTCATTATTTTTGCGTCGCGCGGTGGATGGAGTTTCAATCTATGCAGATAATGGAAACAAACTTTTTTAAAGCATAGTCATCAACATATGTGGTCAACACATAATCAGCAAAAGCTTAGTTTAAACAATATTTATTCAGATAAATCATCACATAATGATATAATACAATTGAAATAAATATTAAGGATTCAGAAACAAGCAAATTTGCTTTTACAAATCTGTCTCCTAGTACACAAATAATATACTTATTGAACAATACATAAATATAAATACTGGCATGCTCTGTAATAAATATGTGAATATGAAAAAGGTGAAAAATACAATAGAGAGAAAAAAAAGAATAAACAAGAATGTGTGTAATGTATACAGTGTGAAATGCTTGGGTTGTTATTGAATGTTGAAGCAGTAACACCAAGGGTTAAAACGTTTGCTTTTGGTAATGTATTTCAGATCTGCACCAAACTAAATAAATGACTATTTTGCTCATCTGAGAGTACCGTTGAGCCAAAAAGCAAAATGTGTGTGTCAATTTGGACAGGAAGAACTGAAACAGAAGCTAATAGTTCATGTCTTAAATCGGTGTATATGGGACAAGATAACAGGAAGTGAGAATTTGTTTCTAAATAACCACAACGACAGTTTGGGGAGTCTACTAAATTACGAAGGAATAGGTGAGAATTCAATGATCTTGAATCCATTCTTAAGCGAGCATAACGAACTTGACCAAGACGACATCCTACATAGTAATACATTGGGACCTTACTATTTTGGGTATGAATTTGTTTTTAAGTAATGGTAGAGATTCACATTTTCTTATGTTTAAGTTTAGTGTGTTCCATAGTCTTGTTGTTGCTGGGATAAAATATTCAGAATATAAACGGGTTCGTGTGTTTAGTTGTGTAATATTATTTCATTTTCTTGTATAATGGCAAAAGCTTCTGCTTTCTTATCATTTTGGTATATCTTGCAACAATATTATAGTCCCTAATTCCATAAATATTTTTTTTCATTGTACCCTATTTTATCAAGGATTATCATGCACGATAAATATTAGTACAGGTAAATTGGCGCAAATGAATTACGTAAATTAGCACAATTGATACCTTAAATGCAAAATAATATTTGGCGCAAATGACACATCTTGAAAATAGCAATTGGCGCAAAAGGACTGCTGCCCAAGAAATGTATGCACGAGAGCACGGACAATGAAATTTTCGTGTATATTGAGTTTTCTATTGACAAAGGGCATAATTCATGCAAAAATAGTTGATCGGCGCTGATCGATGAACTCATTTGGAAAAATGGATAAAGTTAAACCTTTGATAAAAATTGCATACTAATCCGGCAAGAAATGTAGGCAAGTAAGCGCTTACAAATCAATTTTCCATATTATTTACATTAATTTCCAGGGCCTATTGCTTAATTTAAAAAATAGTTGATAAGGACTGATTTTTAAATCGTCCGAGTCATTGTTGATATATATGTCATAAAAAATATGACAACCGATGTAGGCGAAGGAGCGCTTCCAATGCAAATGTCAATATAATTTATTTTTCCAACGGGCGTAACTAAAAAATAGTTAATTGGTGCTGAATTTCCAACTTGTCCGAGATATTTCCGATATTAACCCTAGATATAAATTTCATATAAATCCTACAAGAAATGTAGGAATGAATGCACTTACAAGACCAGACTGTTAGACGGTATTT